TGGATCACTTTGAATGAACATTGGAGTGGCACAATAAAGTGTCTGTATTAGGGAGGAGTCTATAAGGACTGAAGTAAAAAGCACACTTTTGGATATTAATCTGAATCATAGCAACTACATATACTGTAGGTTTCAAATTAGTTTGAACAATGAACAACTGAAAATAGAAATTTATTTAATTGGAAACACTTAAAGGAATTACAACATATTATATGATAGTCATATGTACATGATTATAGGTATATTCATTAGTTTTACTAGCTGATATTTATGACTATCCTGGGACAACATTTATTTTTCCCAAGAGATTTTACTTGCATGATAGTAATAAGTTTAATAGTAACAGAGAAGTGTGATGGATATGTGCAAGTAATTATCATTAGAAATACAAAGATTAAACTGTAATTTTGATCATTGTAAATATTATTAAAGAAACAAAATACAAAAGTCACACAAGGCTATTTAACATAATACAGTCATAATACCAGACTGGTTAAAGAACTACTGAATAGAGGGATCATGAAAATCTTCTAAGATTACTACCATAGCTCTGTAACAGGAAAAGGTATAGTGAGTTAAGGTTTCTTCACCTTGATGAACAAAATTATATAGCATTAGAAAACTATAATGCCATCAACTAATTCCCATTTAAAAATTTTCATGTTGGTCACTGTGAAATATAATCTTGAGGCCATCTTAATGACTGTTTACTATCTGATTGATGACATGATGATATATATTTCCATGGAATTCAAGTTGTTTTTTTCCCCAAGTTCATGTAAAATATGGTTCACCTGTTAAAATAATAAAATGTTTATTAGTTGTTTTGTAACAGAACAGTACCTGCTTTAAAGAAAATATAGGAAAGAGAAAATTGAAATAACAGTTGTACACTGTATATGGAAAACAGAATAAAATCTTTCTAAGCATTCCTACTACGTACTGTTATCATAATTTGATTAACTGATGAGATAATATGAAGTTTTTCTATATGTTAAAAACTGTGATTTCTGAAGAAGTCTTGCTGTATGTGTGAAATTGAGTTTATTAGAAAATGTGATTTCCGAGACTCTGAGAAAATGTGAAAGCAACGTGTGAAAAAAATCGAATAAATTCAGTATAAATGTACATTACATACCTTGATATACAGAACAATAAGTCAATATCATTTCATATTCCAGGCAACACTATCAGTGTTTATTCAGTCGCATTTGAGGCCGAACAGCATCTGATATATACGAGGGTTGCCAAAGCGAACAAAACAATGTCACAAATTTGAGCGCCATACTCCGACAAATTGATACAATATGATCATAAATGTTGCACAGTTTTGTGTACATGTGTGTTCACAGCTTATATCTGAAGAATTTTTCGTAAAAGTTGTTAAAACTTTGAGAATAAATCCATGAACAATCAACAAAACATGTATATTTTTAAATTTTTAAGCAAGAAAATCGTAAGCGCCAGCGCTAATTGTAGTCAGCAACATAACGTTGTCGTTACTGCGCATGCGATAAATCTCCAAGAATCTTGGAGATTTCATCGTATTTTACCAGGGTCTTCCTCAGCTCACGCGCCACCACGAGGAAGACCCTGGGGACGAGGTTGGAAAATAGGTCGATTGTGACCATTGTGATGTCAAATCCGCCATGTTTTTGGCCACACACTTTCGTCACAGAATAGGAAGTTATACCAGAAGCGTAACTCGAGCAAATATTTGTCCGCGTTTTTACAAGCGATTCGTCATCAATCACGCCATCCTGGCTAGTACAACCGGCACTTTGTACCTACCAAATCCTGATAAAAACTTCCGGCTGTACTAGCCAGGATGGCGTGGCCTGACGTGAGCGAGTTAAAAATTTTCGTGGACGTCAAACAACCAGGTGATCTTGATACGCGGAAAAGTACTGGCACTAGTTGTCAAATAGAAATCCATTTTATGATTAAAACAACTGAATATCTCCTGTAATATACTTTATTTCGATTCCATATTTTTGTCAGAGTTATAGTTCTCATAACCAAACATAATTACAAAATTTCAACTAGTTTCATGAAGAATAATGAAAGATATAATTGATTGAATACATGAAAATGGATTTCTATTCGGACAACCCTTTCTGAGCGCTGATTGGCTAAAATACGAACACGAGATCACCTGGAATAAGGGAAACGACTAGAGTTACGCTTCTGGTATAACTTCCTATTCTGTACTTTCGTCGAGAGCACGATCTCCAGATATATAAGTATAGCTCAGTGATTTGAACGCAATCACGAAAAAAAAATTAAAAACATGGCCAACTCAATGCAATACATTTTAGGAGCAAACTGTTTTGCTCCTAAAATTTACTGCATTGACTTCGCTGTCGGAAAAAAGTCGAGGAAAACTTCCCCGTGTGGAGAAAAGAATCACTTTTTCAAATATATTGTGTCGTAATGTCGTTCTGGATGCACAAGGAAAGAGATGTTCTTGCGAGAAAATTTCATTTCACAGGTAGGTAAATTGACTTCCAACTGTGACTTTGCCGTTGCCATTTTTCGCGATTGTTTGAATTGTTTTTTAGTTTACCAGTTTTACAGTTTTTAGTCAATACACTGGTACGTTATGTTTTAAAGAATTTATTGTGTGATCGGAATTTGCCTGCCAGCAAAATGTAAATGAATATGTACGTGTGTTTGAATATAAATTAGACCATATGGGCTTAGTAAAAAAATTATTTTAATAACTACGTTTCGGAGTATAACTCCATCTTCAGGTTAAAAGTGAATAAAGATATAAAAACTGTGATAAAAACTTTCAAAACAATTACAAATTTTATATGTACGTGATTTTTAATACTGTAAGAAAGTTCTTGAACAGTTGATGACGAAGACAATGACGAATACTTATGTCACAGAATAGGAAGTTATACCAGAAGCGTAACTCTAGTCGTTTCCCTTATTGTTTGACGTCCACGAAAATTTTTAACTCGCTCACGTCAGGCCACGCCATCCTGGCTAGTACAGCCGGAAGTTTTTATCAGGATTTGGTAGGTACAAAGTGCTGGTTGTACTAGCCAGGATGGCGTGATTGATGACGAATCGCTTGTAAAAACGCGGACAAATATTTGCTCGAGTTACGCTTCTGGTATAACTTCCTATTCTGTGCTTATGTCGTGATTTTTTTGTCGGCTTCACTTTTCGCTCGCTGTTATCGCTGTTATATATATAGAGTTCACTGATCTGAAATAGCCTTCACCAAGAATGTGTGTATATTTTAATTCTGTGTTTGAATAAATTAGACCATATAGGCTCAGTACAAAAAGATTATTTTAATATTATTTTTATATTTTAATTAATTCAAATGACGTCACGTCAGTTTCACAGATGGAAACTAGTGCTAACCACTGAGCTGTATAATAACTGGAGGACCTGCTCCTATCTCTCGTCAGTCAAAAAAGTGTCGCCAAAAACATGGCGGATTTTGACGCCATATGACGCCATTTCCATGGCAACTGGTCCGAAAACCTCATGGTAGTTACCACTGACCAGGCTCAATTCTGAGCCCACGGCAGTTTTCACACCCCCCTGGTTTTTTGCAAAAGATTTGGTTTTTGCAGATAAATATTTATAGTTTTCGTTGTTTTAAATCTTTTGTATAAATTTTGAGATATATTTACTACCTTTGACCATTTGGTTAAAGGTATGCAAGTCGTACGTGTTATTCTCGCCCGCGAAAGCCAAACAAAACCTCGAGAAATGTGGGAAAAGAGTATTTAAAGACGATACTTGAGTCGGGTAAAAGGTAGGAGATGTCTAGTCAATTTTACTCATTCTTTATCTTATTTGACATGACAGTTGGTAAGTCTAACGATGAAATACACTTCATTTGTTAAGAAAACAAGCTTTCAGCTTTCTACAGTCCAAATTTCATATTGTAAGGTGTAAAATTTCCCATTATTTTAACAAGCTGTATTCACAAATATTTCTATGTAAACAACACATTTGATATTCACAAATTTGTACGATATATACTGTACTGTCTAAACTCACTAAAGTGTAAACTATCTTGTGTAATAATGTCAAAAAGGTTGACTGCAGAGACCTGAGGTCTCGTTTTATTACTTTTATAAACATACACTTGATGAAACTATGTGTTTGTAGGGTTTGTGTTTAATATGCACCAACTTTTGTATAAGTTACTGTGGTACTGGAAGCTAGCTTATCCAGGAAGGTAGTTTCTGTCTACCTATAAAATACTGATTGGGGACACTTTTTGTGTCATTATACACCTGATTATAAACTCCTTAAGCTTTAAGCACCAGTGCTCTCCCCTCGACAAGTAAAATTTTATCAATTTATGTAAAATAGGGTGCACTAGTCTAAGGTACAATGCAACTTTTAAAACAGTTTAATGAAAGCATTCCTATTAAAGTAGCATTGTATGTAGACCTTTAAGATAGGAATAAACCTGCAGCCATCAGTGATTCTGATGCAGTGTTCAAACCAATTTATACTGATCAGCTACTGTGTCGAGCTGTAATTGCAAATTAATTCATGTAAATATCATAAGGTGAAGCCTGTAGTTAGGTGTAAGGGTAAATGTCAGGATTTTGGACGTCACACTCAACAGATTGTTAAATATCAAAGGTAGCGTCACTAGACGAATATTTTAAGTGTCAATTTTATGCATATTTAGACCTAACCAACCTAAAAATATCTGTTGCATCTTTTGCAGCTGCTTTAACCAGGTCTAAAAATGTCCAAAATTTACACTCAAAATTTTCATCGATCTACAAAAATCCTTCAACATTTAGTGATGTACATCAGCATTGCCATGTAAAACCCTTTTCTCACCAAACATACACTTACTGCATGTAATAGTTGGTGGTCAACATAGGAATATTTGCACAAGAATAGACATTACCTCTCAATTCTATATTTTTCTCATACAGAATACATGATCTGCTTCATTAATTAATATGTAGTTTTTAGATAATAATTAAACTGCTTTATATATTTTTAGACCAAGAAGTGTTCTCTTAAATTAAGGGAGAGGTATTGTCAGTGGCAAATTGAGGAATCTGATGCATTGGTGGAATATTGCATGTGCATGGTCATGAAATTATACTTCTGTCAGAATCAATGCTGCAATCCTCAAGGTCTGAAAATTGGAGGTTTTGTACCAACCTCTGCTAATCAGCAGGGATCGATCAAAAGATGTGCTTAAATTAAGTAACACTACTAGTTTTGTAAAGAAAATGAAACATTTGTCTTGATGACATATACTAGACTTGTTGAAATAGTTGAACTGAGGCAATGATAGCAATTCAGGCATTTTTGGGGAACATTTTAAAAAATGTACTTGTTTTTAAAAAGTAAATTTATATTTGACCCATAATTTTCTCAGAACCAATCCAATATTCATCACTACATTAAACATATTTTCAGAGGTCAAGTATTACTAACAGTGATTTGAGCTCTAGGTGTGGAAATAGAAATCACAAAATGTTAATAATAAATGAAAATTTTAATAAATTTTATATATTTTATACATAATTTACATAATACATACTGTACTGTAATTTAGTATTTATGACAACAAGTATTTATAATCATTGAAAATTGTATTGACAGAATTTAATTACATTAATAAGGGGGCATTCATTATTGATGTGGGGGGGGGGATGGGTGAGAAACTGGGGGGACCTGAGATTTTCCCAGATGAAAAGGGGGACTGCAATTCTGGTATTAAAACCAAATCCTGGGGGTACCTGACATTGAAGGAAGACACATCTACACATTTCAAAATTCATGATGAGGGTAAAAACAAAAAGAAATCAGATTTACATAAACTTCATCTTAATTTATTTATGAAGTTATCAAATACATCATTTCTGAAGTTATTCAAAACACTTACAGTACATGTTTCATCACATCTATTAAAACACTTGGGTATCACCTTGTGTTATATTAATCTGATAAAAGGTTGTTGAATATATTTTAATACAATATAATAACTAACTTTCTTTTCTGCTCTCTCAGTCCCTGCTATACAATTGTACAAACATGGACATACTACATTTAGACACAAAGATGTACATTAAATTTTAGATTTAATGTGCTGTAGTGTTAAAAAATTAAATGTGACTGTGTGTAGTACTCTTTATTGTCAATAAAAAAGGGTTGTGCCATAACTTCAATTTGTTCTTCTCCATTTTGGCATCCTGTGCCATCACTTCTGGTACCTGTATTAATTAAACAGATCATCATTATTATACCATAATCATGTTATTACACATCTTTAGTAATTAACAAAAATATAATATGTATTGCATATATGTTAACCCTTTAAGTGGCAATGCACCCTGATGTACTTTATGGGAGAGCACTGCCACTCAGTGGGTTAATCAGACAATCTTCTGCATGGTTATGCATGACTATTTTACTGTCACTTGGAGCTAGTGCTCATGGCACTCAATGGAATATAAATCAAACTATCTGCATACCCAATGTGCCCAACTTTAGTTAATCTTACTCTGTCAAACACCAGATTATTTTACACAATCTGTCTAATGCCAGACAATTTTACTTGTCAAGGGGACAGCACTGCATGGTGCTCCATGGGTTAAGGCAAAAAAGTTTAAAGAACTACGATATCCAACAACATAAAGTGCACATGGTCGTATGGATCTGGCAACCTAAATCCCCCCCTCCCCCCCACAATAAGTGGCCACCACTGCCACACAACCCCATATATAAACACTGCTACAAAAAGCCTGGCAAAAGTAGGACTTGCTTGTCCAAGCTCAGTGAGACTTGTTCAATGTGGGGGAATGCAATGCAGCCTTGTTCACAGGACATGAAGTCTGTGCAGTTTCTGGACTATCACTTGCTGCTAAACCTACTGAGAGAGATTGTTAAATATAACTCAAAAGATAGTTTCAGTTATACCATATCTTATCTCTAAACCACATCGTAGGCAAGCAGTCATGCTTATCCAACTTTTGCTAACTGCTTTGAACACTCTCAGGTCCTGGGTATTTTTTCCCTCTGTCCCACACTCTCTGTCTTTGTGCTTATCTATATATTAATCCTGATTCACACAATATATAATCTGTACGACCGTGTGAGCATGTGAACAACCACAATTATTATAAATTATTAAAAACTGGCAATAAAAAACACAATAAAATTAAACAACATAATTTCATGTCCACAATTTTCAACGATTATAAACAGGATTTATATGTCCGTATCCCGGTTCATGTGTCTGCTATTGAAATATTTGCTGTATATATATTGTAGCATGAGTTTTTGACTTATATTATAGTCATTTGACTCATTTTCGAGAGTCATTTTATATCTAGCAACTAGCAAAGTTCTACAAAGTAAAAATAGTTTCACGAATCTTACCTTGAAAAAATAGTTAATCTTTCTTGATAGTGAATTGTTGCATCAACAAACGAAACAAAACGGCACTTTTCCTCCACGTATAGTAAAACAAGTAAAGTGCGAAGGAAATATTTTCTAGCTCAAAAACAACCGAAAACCTCTAAATTCTGAAAAATAGTGAAATATTTGTTTAAAAACAGGGGGGTGCAGGACTTTGTTTAGTGCTTCGGATCGCGGTTGGTCAGTGGCAATTACCATGGAGACTTCGGACCAGTTGTCATGGAAATGGCGTAAACGCCGCCATGTTTTTGGCGACACTCTTTCATGCCGAGCAGGTCCTCCAGTAATATAGTATAGCTCAGTGGTGCTAACCGAGTGACACTCCCACCGAATGCGGAAATTCAAAGGAATTTCAAAACAGCTTCAAATCGTTGGTATAAATACATCAAGAAAGTCATAGTAAGTGACATTTTATTGCTATTAGTATGTGTTTTCAGTGTTAGTGACATTTTATTACTATTAGTATGTGTTTTCAGTGCTTTACTGTAGACCATTATTTGTTGAATATAAGGTTTTCGTCGCACGCTTTCTTGAAACTTTCATTGCGGGCAGCCATTGCTACCAAAATGACTCAAGAAATTCGTCAAAATTTTCGCTTATTGGGAGTAAAAGTGCTGTAAAAATACCGTTTGAGAACAAATAGTATCAAATACCGGAGGAAAATTATCGTTTTGGAAAGACATTTGGTAAAATCTTGTTTGTTATTTGAACAAATTATTCGATGCGGCTACCTAAAAGCCATAATTCGTCTAGGCTTTTTAATAGAAACAGTAGCCTGAAATTCTGAACAATGACTTGTTCGAAGGTTCTAACTTCCCGAAATATATAAAGTTCATTCATACTTCAACGTTCTGAGCGAAAGCACTTCGTCTGGAAATCAGCAGTGTGAAGTAATAATAAAACCACATCAAAATAGAGACGTTTTGTGACTTGTGTATGTTTTTATTTTAATATAAACTACATTTTGAAAGTGGAATAGATCACTAGGGGTATAGCTTTTGTGTATTTGTTTTTCTTGAAGGATTTCTGGACAGAAAGTCTTTATATGTCTGTAGTTCGAAAAGTTATATAAGAACATCACGTAACGCCATTACCGGGCAGATGGGGCAAAACCGGACAACGTGTTGACGAAAGCTGTCCATGCTATAGCAACAGCATACAAATAACCCTTCTTTATTTATATGGCCATGAAAACGCCAAGACAATACATCCTTATCTTAGAGATACCCCGTTAATACGGCGTTTTTGGTACTGTAGATAAAAATCTTTCGAGCGCAGTGTAAATTGAATGTATGACAAAGTGATTTTTTCTGTGTTGGTGTAAATGTATGGAGGTGAATATGATGATGCTTGTGATGTTACTCTGAGTGTATATCCACACCGGGCAAGCTCAGATCTGCCAAGTTTGGAAGATAAGAATGTGTGACCAAGGCCGTTGCGAGGACTTTGCCTTGGGGGGGGGGGGGAGAGGTTAGATTTACCGCCGGAATTGATTGTTTGAATTCACCTGATTTTGCGATGCCCGCGAGGCGCTATCATGGTTGGCGTCAAGCAAAAAATTTTGGAAATTTGAATTCTCTAGACTGTCGAAAATAGCATTCAAAATGTCGAAAATAAAGTCTTTCCTACCCAGGGCTCGAGATAGCAGGCTGCCAATGGCCAAAAGCAGGCCATATTTTAGAAATGGCAGGCAAAAAGAAATTTGAACTGCCAAGTAAAAAAAAAATGGCAGGTGAAATTCTATAGATATATTTCATTGGCATTTGCTTACCACAACTCATATATACTAGATCATTTAGTTGACTAAATACGTTTCTATTTGAAATCTAAATCCAAGTTTACTGTATAGTAAAATAGACAAGTTTAAAAACAAAAATGCATATCATGAAAACACTGATTTTTACAGTATGACTCATATGAGACATCGCTATTTTGGCAGTTCAATGAATAAAAATGGCAGGCTAAAATTTATTTCACCTGCCAAAAAATTTTAGACTGGCAGGCCATATTTTTTCTCTACTTCGAGCCCTGTTCCTACCCAAGATTTCAATGTTTTACTACTGCCTAACAATGAAGATAAGTAAAATAACTACTGATCAATATGACAGTGTTACTTACAGTTTAATGTGACTAGGAAAATTGAGAAAATTTTGGAAATTTGGAATCTCCAGATTGTCAAAAAGCGTATTTGGCCATGTACCCCCAGGCCAATGATGCGTCTGAACGTCTTTATTTGGTTGGTCGATTGTTAACTCTAATTCTACGTTTGCACACAGCGTTGTCAATGAGTTATTATACGAAAAGTGGGATAGCGTCATATAATGGTAAAAATGTGTAACTTTAAGATCATTTTAGTTATGTGTGCGGGACAGTGGGAACAAAAGCAGAATGCGTAACTTTCACGCGAAATGCGGGAACCTTGGCAGGCCTGCAAGCTTGAAAAATATGCCTGGCCACGGTGGGAATCGAACCAACCTGACCGTGTAGTTCAGTTGGCAGAGCATTAGGCTAGTATTCCAAAGGTCGTAGGTTCGATTCCCACCCTGGCCAGTCATATTTTTCAAGCTTGCCCGGTGTGGATATACACTCAGAGTAACATCACAATCATTGTATGACAAAGTGTTGTAATGTTTTGATCTGCATGCCAAATACAAATACTCAGAGTGGATAAATTACTTATGTATTAATTTAGCGTCAGTTACATTTCTTGGAAATTGTGAAACGTTTCTAATTCTTTAATTTACCGATAACCGATATTCTAGGACCAATATTTTACTTTGAAATTCACAAATGACAATTTGGACACCAGACATGTATACATGCTACAGCAGGGGTCTTCACCCCTTTTTTTCGGCGATCCAACCCAAGCTTCATAGGTGTCCCGTGACCCTGAACACTGCCAATAAAACTTTCGATAATTAAAAACATGGCTTTTCACCGAAAGCTTCCGAGTGTATGACGACGACTCTACTTCGGAAGACGATGTGCGCAGAAGGCGCGCCGAGTGGTACTAAGCCATAATGTTTGAGTTACATGAAGTAAAAGGTATTATATCTAAAGCTTTACCAGTTTACCTGTTTACCATATTATTCTAGCAATCTAGCGCTTGAGTGCTTCATAATAATCCTGAAAAAACATAATCGCAAATTTCGCAAGGAAATATTCATATGTAAATATGTGCATCTTATCACTTGATCTCTCGTCTTGTAAAGTTTACTAGTGTAAGTTCGCGACCCTAGACAAGCATTGCGACCCAAGACAAGCCTTGCGACCTTCGAGGGTGTGCTAGCGACCCAATTTTG